AAACTTCCAAAAGTCGACTTCCAACTATATACACGAGACCGCCAATGGAACCCACCACAGAATAGGTTTCGCAAGAAAGCTAAACTTTGTACGTTGAAAGTAAATTCTGAAAATACTTGGCTGATAATATATTTGTCTAGCCTGGAATTGTTTGAGGCTCGTACATCAGAGACTATTTTAATCGTCCTTTGTGAAGAGACGAAAGAAACACTTTCAGTATCTTCTTTCTGAGGAAGCAGTAATTTCCTTCTGAACTTCCATGAAGCATTTTGACACCTTAGAAGTCCTTCCTAATAACTTCTGAAATTATACTTCTGACATTTTCAATTCGATTGCATTGAAGAAAGAAAGGGATGCAAAGTTTCACAGAATATGGACATGAAGGTAGCAAGTGACGAAAAAAGCTTGCACAATCTCTGGAATGAGCGTTAGCTAAAAGGTCTTGTTCCAACTTGCAGGGACTTGTAGAGTGCCGCCGGTGTTGACTGGCTTCATAAAATACTACTACCGTGAGATTTTGATGGTCTCTAACAGACTCAAATGTTGGTTGAATTTGGAATTTAAGGTTCTCTGTTTGACGAGTTTTTTAAGCCTCTCTTCATAGTCATCGCATATCATTTGTAGGCGGTGAATTGGCGGACTGCACCACCCAAAAATGACTGAGGAAACTTGACTCAGAATGCGTTAATTTTTATTTTACGTTACCCTATGCTTAAGGACCACTAAAGTAAGGAACAACCCTCTTTCCGGAGGAAGAAATTAAGTTTTGTCCATTTCTTTGTACCATGAAATCGCCTGCATCGTACCGTGAATCGCATCTCGACTGCCATTCGGAAACCGCGCAGGGATAAAGATGGACAGAAATTGTATAACTCCTCATTTGTTGCCTCCAAAAACGATATACGGTGTTCCAAATTTATCCAAAAGAGACAAAAAAATTCGAGCAACGATTCGTGACTCGTCACGATGCGCAGGACTCCTCTTGCATTGGGATTCAACCCTTGAACAGTTGCGCACGTTTTGATGAGGAAATTTGATATTCCAGAAAATCTGCGCCGCCCTCCCGCACACAACCGCTTGACTGCGAGGCAACGTCTTCAATGGAACTTACACGAATAAAATCGTAGTATTAATTGTTAAAAGTCATTTATTGTGTGAATTTTGCGCCAACGGCGAGCAATAAGGGGAGGATGCGAACGAGCCTGCGAAGCGATGCTTTCCGATTTTTCATGGTCTGCTGTTGAGACGACATTCCGACTTGAAGCTGGTGGGCTTTCTGGCTTGCAAATGACATTCAAGATGATACCCAAGCACCTCTCTCCATGTAAACATGGTTAAAGTTGAGGATAAAACGAATTATTTAACTCCCAACGAACATGTTCTAATGCACACCGGTACATTTGTCGACATGACAGTTCTCATTTGTAATGTTTGTTTACTGAGACAAATGTTCCATTTGTCGCTAGTAAGTTGGATTACAGTCAAAAACAATTCTTCAAAATGTCAAGGCAGTTAAATATTCTTTCTCCTAGCCGTAGAAAGCAAAGTTTTAACTTCAAACTAATCACATTGTAGCGTTCCAAGCCTTCTAGACGAGTTAAGGCTACCGGCATTGTTTAAAGTCCAAGCCCCTGTTTGGAAGGACAATCTGCGGAGAGCTAAGCAGGGTTAAACAAGCTATCAAAGCATTGAAATCCTACTATACAATGCTGTCTAGCGTCCTAAGTCTTCTCTGAATCTGTAGGAAGTGACAGTAGTATGGTGGAAGCTTGGTGTTTACTGACATCGTCTGGAGGCCATGTCGCCGAGCTGGAGGACAATCTGTGGAGCCTTAAACGCCCGCACAATCAGCTTATTCAAGATAGCTATTAAAAGTATTCTGTAAGATAAAATTTCATAGTGATTAACGAACCAAAAATGAAGCTAGAAGGGATTAAAAAAACAATCTCTTCACCTTTATGCCAGCCGGGTGCAAAAAAAAATCATCTGAACATCTGCAAGGCGGAATGCTTCCTTACGAAGCCATCATAAAAGGTCGGCAGAGATTATCGCTTCATAGGCCTCTTAATGCTTGACTTTGGTGAAAAAATCACACACCGAATGACCATCTAAAAATGAATATTACAACGCTCTCGTGTAATTTCCATTGGTTGGGATTTTTCGGGTCGGGTGGCCGGATTTATGCATGGTGGGCGGCGCGGGCTTCCCTGAAATATCATATTGCAGCGTCTGCAACTGTTCGAGAGGCAAACTCATTCACACGAGGAAGCTAGACATCGTAATAGAGGAATTTTCCAATGTGGCGCATCATGATCGGTTTCAAATGCTTGCATCTATTGCGGTTACGACGTTTCACTTGGGCACGGGAACAACTTCCACACCTTTTTTTGCCTTGATGAACAAGTCCACTGCCTGTTAGGGTGGACAGACTGATTGATCTCCAAATGCTTGTTCGGGGAACTTTGCGCACCATCCTATTTGACCAGTTTCCACGGGACTGTTAAATTACTTCCAACCGTGGTGATGTAGAGGGGAGGACCGGCTCAACTGCTGAGAGGGGAGGATATTTCACGTCGAGTGAATAATTCATGGCATTTGGTTAAAATCCTCATTTTACAGCAGGCACGCTAAGACACACAAAAAGCAGAGGAAAGAGCGGAATCCATCTGCAACTACAGGGAAGGACGCTTTGCCCGCATTATTAGTGCTTGTACTGGCCTTTCAAAAGATGCATGGCCCCTCATGGTGTCCAAAAATGTCCCTTTTGATATCCTTCACTAAAAATTGCCCTTATTTTCCTAATTGTGGCCTATTTGCTTCTTTCTCCGTTGCATATATTTATTTAAAAGAGGATAAAATAATTGTAGAAGCAGTAGGTGAAGAGAATTGTGTTGAACGACCGGTGACTTTGAAAGCATCCTCATATAGTCAATGTCAGGCCTGACAAGAAAAGGTGTTCAGTCACGTTTGTGTAGAATGTGCCAGTCCACATTTCACGCGTTGTTTATTTAACGTTTTTGCTAAATAAAAAAGCAAGAATTTAGTGCATTCACGTAATCTCCTCTCTCTTGCTCCCTGTTAGACCAGGAGCTTGCATTGTCCTATTTGCTATAAAGCCTCATTTAGTGGGGATAGTTGATGTGTAGTCAACATGATTTTATTCTTTACACCTGATCTCTTCCCTCTACTAAACTAATTAATAATATTATTGTACTTTATTCTAGGTAAGGAATGCTCTAGCATTCGAATGTTGGTGTCGATAAGCTAGACAATGAATTGAATGTTAGACACTTAAAAGTAGGTGAAAGAACAAAAAATCGTTTAGACCTTTGACTGTAATGCATGCCCGTTTGAAAGTTCCTTCCAAGGCGAAGCCCCCAGCATATGCAACCTCGTGATTGGGGAGAAGACCAACTCCTGACCGATATAAGCACAGTTTCCCTCCAACCTTTTCATAAAGTCATCAAACGAAAGATGACTCCATCATATTATCAAATAGTGACTGCTGGTGCATGGAATACGCTTTTTCTGTTAGCAATTGTTTTCACGTATCATGGCCCATTTCAGAACAGAAACTGGGTGGTAATAGTAGGTGTGGTCCCATAACCAGTGTTTGTAGTCAGTGCTTGAAATGTTTACAATTTTTGCAGTCAATCTAATCAGGAAGAAAGGATGGTTTAATTTGCATTTGTTCTTAGGTGCACCAACGATTAGTGGCTATTCACTAAGCCTTTGGAGGCACTCCAAATTGTCAGTTTTCTTATTCGTTTAAAGTATGAGAGAAATAAAAATACCAAACAAATCAAGCGACACATTCTCCAAGCCCAAGATAGATGCCTATAATGACATTTTCATACAATTGCAGATCAAAGAAAGTTTTAAGTGACACGATCGAATACACCACTGGCAACCAATAAGAGCATGGCCTTCGGAACAGGCCCCGGGTGACTTTCACAGCGGTCAACCAGAGAAGGGCGTACAGAGTAACAGCAATTTGGCGCCAAATATTTCTCTGTACTTTAGCGCAAGTTATCGACATCAAGCTGCTTCGCTTTTATTTAACTTCATCAAAGAGAACATCATGGACACAAGGGAACAAATGGAAGGAGTCGACTTTCCACACCAATAAAATGACCGCATAAGGTGTCAATATAAAATTACCGTTTCTCTTATTCTACTTAGGTAACAAACTTCTAGAAAGAGGAAATTGGAACAAAATTCCGCAAGTAATTATTTAGTCTTAAGGAAATTCCTGCAATAAGTGGGCTGTACAAAGCATACCAAATTAGACTTTAAAGTACCCTAATTTCAGTGGGTTTTAGGAATTAATTAGTAGTGAGAAGTAGATAATGGACATTTCTTCGGCAAAAATACTTTTAATATTCTTTATTCTGTGGAGGGATTCCATGATAACAACCAAATAATTGCAGAAAGTTGGGTAAAATGTTTTATCCGTTGAAATTATCACTGTTCCAATCTACCTCTAATCCCTTCCCAACGAAGCATAGGCTTGCAAATTCCACTTTTATTAAACGTTATTTCCCAAGAAGCAAACAATCTAGCCCTGACCACCTTCAATTGTCTCGTGCTTGTGTTTTCCAACTTGCTGTCTATTCTGTGATCATCGCAGTACTGAATGTCAATGCCAAGGTGACGGACACCATCTGATGAGAAACAACACTAAATAAATGTGGTGGATGAAGGTGAGACGGGAAAGTTTTTTTCCTCCCACCTATTCTAAAGAGTAATATAAAGTATCCACAACGGTAAATATCCAAGGTATTGTTCTAAGGGAAAAAGAAAAGGACTTTTCCTCGGTGGTTCTAAAATTTCACCAGTTTTTTGAGAACCACCTCGAACTATGCACATTCGAGTTGTAGCAGGTAAAATCATCCCCAAATCACCTCTTACACAAATACATAGAAATTGCGGTTTTTAATGGACCGAGTGCTTTCCGACTTTAAAGTGTGGGGTGGTTAGCCAGGTATGGAGTGGATGGTTTAGAGGCCAATCAATGACATGTTTGTTTGCTAAACGAAAGTTGAAATACAAAAGACAATTCTCATACTAGTCAGGGAGTGGTAGAAAAAGTGAAGTGCACAGGGTGTTTTATGACGTACATGAAGGGAGGGGACGAAAGAGTGAAGGCCCCTGAAGCCTATTGTCATCCATTAATGCACTTGGGTGGCACCCACTTGTTTGGTACTTTCCATCATTAATTTTTCGTCCCACCTAATTTACGTATAAACAAGTCATTTCCTCATCACGTGCATTAAATTTTAACGGAAGATGGAGAGATGGTAGAGACATCTCTTAATGGGCATGATTCATCATTAGAGTCAGATTTCGTAAGCCATTTTGTTATCTCACTCACACCAAATGATACACATCGCATTTGGCGAGGTCAACTTGGCAACAAAGCTAAATTCATTTCGTGAGGAGGGTAACCACAAATCCAACTAACATATGAGACTATAAAAGGAGCAGGTAGCATCGAACACAATGAGGAGTAGCATATTGAAGCAAATTAACGATGACATTCGACTAGTTTCAACCGGTTCTAAAGAGCCACCACATTGGCTACACCGAACACCGCGATAACTCCCATGGTTATTGCGATCTTTTCATTAGCTACTAATGATGAAAATCCTCATCTTCGGCGAAGCCACTCACCGCCTTTGTTTGTCCCAATTGCAACGATGCGTTTTCGGAAGGAAGAGAAGTTTAGAAGAGTGGGTATTGTTATGGGGGCAATCTCACGTAAACACCTCTGGAAAGATCAACAAAGATTGATGAGTTTGTTAGAGCACGGCCAAATAAGGTAGAGGGCGTCATCAAGGGTTTGGGAAGTCCTCTTTCTCAAAATTCCTCGTAGAAAAGAGGTGAGACAAAAAAGGGATGGTCAATCCTAGCAATAATTTAAAAGCTTTTGTAAGGGAGGGAGGAAATGGAGCAAGGGTAGGATCTTATAGGCGTCAGGAATCGCCTGGAAGATCTGATTTTCCTCACTCCTAAGGTAAAATTAAGTCATGTGTATAGTTAATTTTAGCCTGACTGAAACATCTCACCATTTCTACTGCAAAATGACATTAATCATGAAGGAAAAGCAGCAAAGGAGGTCTTTTTACATCCCATCGACGATAGCAAAGAGGTGGCGTTTCCTTGAAGAAGGTGGTGAAATCCGACAGCTATGAGGATGGATGATTCATACCACAATACACTCACCCACTCCAGTGGTCATCGACACGCCTATGTCCCTTTTCCTCCTCTTAAGGGTGGCAAACGCCTCTTTTGGGGAAAAAATGCATTCAGTACTCCATTTGTAAGTGATTGCTACATAAGAAAAGTTGAAGACACAGAATACCTGAAATCCCGACTCATTCAAAGCAAAGGTTAGGGCCTCATTAACCTGCCTGCGCGTAGTCGACGATTCTCGGTTCCGGTGGATTTGTTTGGTTCACCCACAATGCGTTCAAACAATCGTGTTCCAGTGGCGTTTGACAAGCTGTCAAATTAATTATATGACCAAATATAATGATAAGAGTCTGACTATTCTCATTCAATCCCTTGGAGGTCATTAAAAATCTACTTGACAATTGTTTGAAGGGTCGTATAATGACATTATTGCTGTTTACAAATGGCCCGCATCAATAAACTGCCCTCGCTTAATGACTGCAGCGATCCCGGTTGAATGGGGAAGAGATCAGGTTGGAGCGTCTGCTCCCCCCTCACCTCCTCCCGCCCCCAAACGGAAATGTTTCAGACATACAGTCAAAAAGGTTTGGTGAGACTGGGAAATATTTGCATGCAATTAAACAATGCATGCAATAGTTATTTACCTAAATAAGCACGCAAATCTGTGGGATGGGTGAGCCGCGTCAGGAAGTCAATTGAATGGGTCTACTATTGATCATCACTAAAAGTCGAGCCATAATAGGGTAGCTGAAAGTGTCACTGCATAATGTAATGCTTCAGTTGTTTGTTTAACTGCTCGTTTTGGTTACACGGGCACTTAAGGCTCCGCCTTTGTACTTCCACTGGGTGGCATGTCCTCCAGGCCATGCCGGTACCCCCCACCCCTTCTGTGCTTCGGGGATACATATTCTTCTTCCAACTTCAGGGAAGACTCAGGCCACCAGAATAAAGCATTCAGTGGCGGTTAAATTATACCTCTTAATTTACCTAAAGGAGGTTCAGTTACTCTGACTTGTGCTGTTGGATGAAAGAGCGAACCATTCAGCGGATCATTAAAAGATTCCAGACCATTTAATCAGTTTATTCTCTCTCTAAATTTATATGATTCTTGCATTTTTTACTCTACAATACTTGGTTTAACTACAAGAATAAAATTGGCCTGCCACATCCGCAATTTCCGCTCTCTCAATTTCTCCCGACACCCTCTGTGTCGTGGCTGCGTGCGTCTATCACCTTTGTTAATTGCCTACCAACCCTTCAGTACCTTTGCGATTAAACCTCGTCTAGACCTCCTAGTCTTACAACTCTACATTGACTCAAAATACTGACGTGTATTCACCCTTCATGTCTTTTGCAGGGCTGATTATTCAGCGGTATGAGTAACTCCTGTGAAATCACCCATGTCAATGCATGGATGCTTAATTTGAACACCAAAAAGCTACCTCGGGTAATAATACTTTGGTTATTTGTTCAACTCTGTTTTAATTTTTAGTGTACTGCCTCAGTACTTTTCCTAAGCGCCGTGACCTTTAGACCGCGTCAGCAGCTCCCAACTGCAGCCCTTCTGTAGATTTACAATACGACTTCCTACGTCTTGAAGAAGAACTCAGCGAGTCGCATTGGTGGCATCGAAAAGTAAATTTGAATCAAAAGAAAATCCACCTTAATTTCTTCTAGTGAGCGCTAAACCTTAACTTGACTGCAGATGAAAGGTCCTGTGGCGACTTCTGCAGGACTGCTGCCATCTGTATGAAAATGTCAACGAGGTGAACACGAGATGCCTCCTTTATCTCTCCGCTAGCTGGACAGAACCCAAATATGTTAAGTAAGTTAAGTAAAAAAAGACAGGGAGAAAATAGACGCGAAACCTTACCTCAACAAAACCATTTTAAAGCCCGTTCTTTATTCGACGACTGATTTTAGGCCATTGTTCTTACAACCAGCGATGGACATACACAATGGACAGCACATTCCACCTTCCTCCAAAACAATTTTCATATAGAACAAGACTCCAGATCCAGTAGGATTGCCATAAGGGATCAATGACATTGGTTCGTGGGTGGTTTTCGTACAGCACCGACCATCTTGTAACAGCCGCCGACATTAGAAGTTGACCAATGGGATCGCCGGGGATGACACTCAAAAGGAGAGGCGGTTACGTAAAATATGGTTTTGGTTTCGTAGGCCCTGAGCGGTATGGCCTCTGGGTTACGTTAGTAGGCCCCTCCCCTGCCCTCAACCCTCCTGCATGTTGAAAATACACATTCCTCCCAGGTACCATGACTTCAGTCACCTTCAGATTTGGACCCGGGGCGCTACAGAAAAGCTTCGGATTCGCATAAAAATTGAACTTTATCATCAAAAAGAATGCAACTGTTTCATCGCCTACAATAAAGGCCGGAACGATTAAGTACAGCTTATACACACTTTAAAATGCTTCATGTAACTCAAATATCTGAAGCTTGGAAGATCGACAGGAGGGAGAAGGGAGACAGGGCACGGGTATTCTATGTACACTGAACAAAGTGGGGTAGCCAAAGATCTCCATAATACTTGCAGCGTTGAGTCAATCGCATAATTGAGTATACAGTGGCAAAATGGGACTTCAAGCTCGCTCCAAAACACCCTCCGTGATTCACACGTCCACCTGGGTGATTTCAATACCCGACAATGAAGAAAAATCTTTGTTCATGCCTGAACTGGCACCACTGGAACTTGTTTTGTCTTGTGACTCTCGACCGGAATCCATCAACAACTTCTCCTCAGTTGTGTCTCCAATGTAACCTGCGCCTGCGGTCTGAGAAGTCTCCATTTTCAGCATCTCTGTAGGAAGCAGGAGAGATGGAGGGAGTTGATTCAGTTTTGACGTGTATTTTCCAAACCCGATACTTTCCGGATCATGAGCAAGAGTCAATCGTGGTGGCATCGAATCAGAAGGCATTTCAGAGGGTCCACCATAAAACTGTTTACTATCGGCGGCTATACTCGTTCCCATATACTCGCCTGGGAGGTAGCAGGTGTTAGCACAAGTGCTCCCCCTTAAAGGATCGGGCGAGTGGTGACTAGTTTGACAAGAGTATAGTGGTGGCAAGGTTTCACTCATTCCCAAACCCCATGTTCCATGATCCACTCTTGACGAGGTGTTGCAGTATATATGCCGTTTTGATTGCAGGTCAAGAGGTCCTGAAGCAAATCCTTCATCATTGGTGCTCGGTGAACCCGTATTTCGACTGCTTGGAGCGCTTCCCAGACTCTCAGGTGTTTGCCATTTGCTGGAGAAGTTAGGACTGGCTGGCGACATTAGTCCCCGTTGTGAAGAATCCAACTTTAACGTTGGATTAGCAACCTGAAGAGTAATATTTATGGAATCAATTCGAAGAGCTGTTCTATGCAAGACAAAAAGAGGTAACCGACCTGGTACCGCATTTCAACCATTCCGCCAGTTCTTAAGTCGTTGTGGACTGCGTCTGAATTTAGACTCCGAGTACCTACAGAGTTGCTGCAGGAGCCACATTGTGGTGGTGGAATTAGTGGCGTTGGCTGTCTCCCGGTCCACTGATTAATTAATTCAGCTGTTTGGGCCGGAGTGCAGGGTCCTCCACTGTTTCCCGAGAAAACGCTGCTACAACTCAATCCCGGATTCATTGTAGCTGCGGTAGCAGCAGTAGCTAACGACAACTGCGGCGAAATAGGATAGATGTCGTCAACAGCCTTTCCGCCATCATCAGCAGCATCTGGACCGTTGGGATCCTCTTCGATGCGCGCTTTTCTCCGCCTGACGTTTTTTCGATGACGTACAATGATTAAGGCCAGACAACCGATGGTTAGAAATATCACGCTAAATATGATAATTCCAAAGAGAATGTATTTTATTTGAGTGGTGAATAGTGGTGACGGCTGAGTGTATGTGTTGTAAAGTTCAGTGACTTGAAAGTCACGTGGTACCAGGAAATGACTTCGGCCATATTCAAAGGACCCAATTGACGTAGGACCGGTCTGAAACACATGCGTACAATTAAAATTGAGGTGTCGTGAATTATTTTGCCGAGCCCGTAAAGCCTTTCCTTATGCACTTACATTTCTTCGAAAGTTTTGGATGGCCTCCTGTTCCCAATCAAAGCTTTGATCCGGTACACCGGGATCGTTTTGAGGTCCCACGGAGATGGCGACAAGAGGTCGAGTGTCGGGAAGGAATAGGCTTGACTTGGGAGCACAGAGTGGTTGACCAGGCCAGAGGGCAATACTCTTGGCATTAATCATAGGACCATGGCCAATTTTGCCTGCCGCAACCAGTGCTTTACCCTCCTCCGTTACCGGCGCGATGAGGAGGGGTTTCGCCGGATCCCAGACAGCTGCCTTTTTGGTGCTTTGAAGTAGAGCGCTTACACGTACCTTGCAAAGGAATGAAGTTCTCTTTCACTTTTCAACATTTAATCAACTTTGGCTTTTGCTGTCGGAAAAGATTTAAAATATTTCAGCATTTACTTCTGACTTTCAAATACATTGAGAGTGCACAAATCTCTCCTAAAACCAAGTTGATTTTTGCGGTAAGTCCACCGCCTCGTAAACATAGCTACTAAACCAGCAAAAAGGTTTTGTAACTATCAGGTAAAAGTCTTTGTGATTATCAGGCAACACTACAAATGCATCTAGAGGTATAGGCTTTGGAGGAACATTACCTGTCCCTCGGGCAGCAAATGGAGGCCCATTTCCGAGCCATCTTCGAGAATCAACGAAAGCGCGATCTTCCCCAGTGGACAGAATACGTTCTGTGTGGAAGAGGAGATGTTTTGCAGGGCACCCGAGTTCAACTGTGCCGTGATAACATGGAGGTCAGTGGGATCTTGACCACGCACAATGAGATTAAGCACACGTGGGTGAGGATGAGCAGCAAAATCAGCAATCATCTCTTTCTCGTTTGGAAGCAAAAGGGCTCGAGTTGCTCCGTCTTTGGTTACTGCCGTTCCATAGGAGTCCGTCGATGAACGAAGCAAGATCTCGGCAGACGGGTGCGGCTCCAAGCGTCCCGATAGCGTGATCATCCAGCTCTGTGTTGAAATGGATGATATGGTATTTATAAATGACCGTTTTGATGCGCGGAAGGGATTTTTCATACGAATATAAACTAATTTACGATTATGAGTTCCTATTCACCAGATTGTGCTTCATGTTTAGCAAACTAGGTGTCACAACTCACAACACACTCCACTTTCAGTCGCACAAAATCATTCTTTTCGGAAGCCACGATCGAAACATCCTTGTAAGCCAGCGGTTGTGAGTCCTTTGGCGCTGCAATTAACTCAATCCTTACGTGACCTTCACTTCGACCAATCAGGAAGGGGTATACGGAACGCTTGTTTCTGAATATGGTAGCCGGCGCTTTGAGTGGTGCAGTGACAAACTCCGATGTTGACGGGAAGGGACGAAGACGCAAACTCCACGATGGAAGGAGATGGGTGACGTCCAGTTCTGTGGGTCGGTGAGTCAGGTGGTCGTATTCCCTTGCCGACATGTCGTCCGAACTCATGGTCCCGGGTAGAATGTCCGAGAGGTACATTCGTTCTCCCGTATCCGGAAGCGTAGTAAATATTCTGTAGTGAAAAGTTTTGTAGTATAATGCTTTGACAAGCTTAAGTTAATTTCTACAAAATTGTGTCAATGTGACTTTGCCTGGATTTAGCTATTTCCTCTCCCCTCCTCCCCCCTCTCAAACTGGGCGCACAGCAGTTGCCTCGACTGACAAACACATTTGCGCAAAATCATTCATTCAGTTATTAATATTTAGACATTTTTTCCTCTAGTTAGCAAATATTTCATTTTGTTTAAGCATACTTTGTTTTGACAAGTGTATTTCACACAAGACCTAACATTTGACGATCATAATGAAGTAGACAAAGCTGGGAGAAACTCCTTACTTTTTTATAAATTGAGTGCTAAACAAGATAATTGCACTGGACTACCTTCAAAATGACTCTTTTTTGTCCAGCTTTTTGTTATTTTTTCCGGATTATTTAGACGTCTCCAACTTCACATGTGTTTATAATCAAGGAGACAATTTTTAAAAGGATGCTCATATTGTGTGTACTCCTTACGATCGCGAGAGACACACTTTGTCTGTAGATTTATACAGTTATTTCCTATTTAGTGTGCGTAAGAGGCGTCAGTCACCACGATGACTGGGCAAACATCACCAATTAAGGAGGCACTTGCCAGGAGGTACAAATTATGGCATAAAAGCGTAGACGAAAAAATGGTGCTTTTTTTGCTTCCGTACATGTCAAAAGATAGACAGTAGTAAATTTCAAAATTGGAGTTGAGCTGTTTATGGACAGAGGGGCTAAAGAACCACGTAGAAGCCTTTAAAAGGGAATACATAAGGCTCAGTCATTGTACCTTTGCTGGACAGTGTGGCTTGTAAGTCATACTAATAGGGCTTCAGGCCTTCTACACGCCCTAGCATTGGGATCCCTTTTATATTTAGGCATAACTCGGTGCGCTACAAAGCATTTGCTTGAGAAAGCAACCTACTGAATAACATTTATAGGCAGTATTTATGGTGCGTTTGAGAAAATACTGTCGGTATCTGCATATCTAACGCATTTTGTACGCACTCTTGAAATGCGAATGCAGAAGAATTTGCTCGAGTTACAATTAAGCTTGTTTGGTTAAACCACAGGGACATGTCAATCTCCCTAGATTGCACTTCCACTTTGCTACCTGCCTTTGGGACAATGCCAATAGCCTCGTCTCATTTCTCCTGTGGGTTAATAATATACGTTGCCCCTACACTATTTTGGCTGGCTAGAACTATGGGAAAGGCGCAAAAAGTTACACATTCCTGCATAAAATCAATCAGCTTGCCATCCAAATGAATAAGGTTATAACAAAGGCATTGTCTTACGGGTTAGTCAATTTATAGCCTACCAAATTTCGTCATTTTAAAGCATGGAACTTGTTTCATATTGTTTAATTGACATGACATTTGTGATAGCTATACAGAGTTTAATATAAGTGACTCGTAACTATAATCACCGTCGTCCAGGTAAAGCGCACCACCGAGGTCGGTGCAAGAGGGCAACCACAGTGGGGCAGTAAGTCCACAACTTAAACCGAAACATACACGGGCAAAACCGACTCATCCCGGGGAAAATAAAAAAAAATGGGCTGGAATTTTTTCTCGTCCAGATTTTAATTTAGGTGACTCACATTAAATTGGCATCTTGAAACGAACACCACGCCAAGAACCAGCCAGTTGAGTGTAGTGGGACCCTTTTGGCACCGACATCAACGGCTCTCTAGTAGTGGAGCTGCTCTTGTCCAATCCCACTTTCCTGATTTCCCGACCCCTGCCTGTATGCTTAAAATTTTCCCTTATCAAATTCCTCACTCGACAGACCAAATGCTACCTTTTACGGCGTTGTTATAGGCGATCAAAGCCAACAAATAGGCTGGAAATACTTCGTCGCTGTGATAAAAAGAGAGAAATTAACACTATTACAGATCTGACTGCTATTTTATTCTCTTTTTCTCCCTCCCGTATTCGAACTTCCCCTAAATTCGTGTATTTGAAAAGTGAGACAATCAGATATTGCCCGACATGTGGACCTACCGAGCTGTTACCGTAATTTTTGTTTGTTCATAACGCCAGATGCAGGAGTTAGTGCTAAAAAAGAAAAAAAAAGCTGTAAGAATGGGAGACCGAAACGCCTTGAAAGTTGGATAAAATAATCCCAAGTGTTAAAGAGGGTTTAAGGAACCTCAATTCATCACGTCGTAGTGGTGTGGGTACTAGTCGAGGAAAGGCTCCTCGGGGTGGTAGCTTGTACTAGCAAAGGAAGTTTTTGTTGGGCCTTCCAAACACAGACTAGAGTGAGACCAAGAAAAGGAACAGTGATTTACAAACAATCCTATTTGATCCAAATAAGCCTAATGGGACAAAATTTACGCACAGCATATAGAAAGAGGGATGTGAGAGCGCAGAGAAGCAATATCTTACAATTTATCAAACACGGGAAAATTTGAAATTCGACGTATCCTGTCCGACTGAAGACGAATATTGAAGTTCTCAAAGTGCCAACGTCTAACCGTGGGTCCAAGCCACGCCCGCCAACTCCATTGAATGGAATTTCTCGATGGAGGAGGTGGAGCATGAAGCGCATCAGTGTATACTGGCATTCCACTAGCAGATTCCTGGAGAGTCAAAAGGATCTTTCCGCCATTTGAGACATCTCCAAGAGGAGGATTGAGCTCCGATTCCACGGGAGCTTCCCGCATTTGAAAGGGACATGTGGATTGTCGTCGATGCAACATTGGAAGTGTGGCGTCCAGCGGTCCCACCGCACTCTGAGTGACAGTGCGACAGTAAACTTTGTTGGTGAGGGGAATCAACCGACCCACCGACTGCGAACCCGCGATTTTAAAGTGCGATTGAAGGGTGAGTGGAAAGCCACGGGCGGAGGTTGAGGCGCTCGGAGGCACCAAACCGAGGACTTTCAATTGACGTGGTGGTGGTGGCTCCCGTGAGGGTGACCACGGTGGTTCCAGTATGTCGGTAGGCTTAAAAATTCAAAGTCAAAAGATAAGCGTATACTTTTTCGCATTCTCCGTGGCTGTCGAAAGTGACCTCATTACTCCAACCTACATCTACAATATGGCACACCGTGAAATAGCACAAGTCCAAAAGGACTTTTTGATGTGCGAGACGCTGCATGGAAAATATGGAAAAGAAGATCTTGGAATGACTTGTGGAGCACTTAAAACGACTGAGGCGGCTGTAACTACAATTAGTAGCACCAAATCTGTGCTATAAGTTTTCCTTTACCGAAATGTATCCTTGATCAGTCCCAATTGTCAGCTGGTGGGGGATTAGCTTTGATTACATGGACCATGGACTGTCACACACTGTGGTCAAGTGTATCTAAACCAAATCCAGGCGCGGAGATTGATAAATGGAATTTCCGCATTGCATGAGTCACGGTCCCTCCACAGCCCGGTACATAAACACTTGTTCGCACTGGGTTACACGATATACTTCGGTGCGGTGCCCGGCCCCGAGAGAGAAGTGGATCAGTCGGTGAAACCCAAGACGACTGCCGATGCATGTAGTTGAACAGATGACAGCAAGACCTACATCTGTTTGAACATGCCACCCACTGTGGGGATACGGTCGGACTAGGTTAGCCCTTAGCTAATCAATGACGGCAAGAAAAATCGCTGGAAATAGTGGCGGTGCACAATGCTTTATTTTTAAGGCACATTTGCCTCTAGTAACATACTTTACTCTTTATTCTTTAATTTTTCGATTTTGATGGTGTACAGCAAATGCGAACCGACCTTTAGACGGGACAGTAGTTGTAGGGAGCCCGTTTCTTTATCACTCTCGGTCGGTCCTTAAGAAAACAGACGAAAACAGCTGTCCTCCTTCTTGTAAAGGTATACATAGACCAATATCAGATTGATGCCTCGCAAAATTATAAATGTACTCAATTATCTTGATTAAATTTCACCTAAGTTCAGTTGACATGCTGATTTACCTCCAATTGACCAGATTCTGTGCCACCATTCCTTTTCAAAGGTGCCACCACTCTAAATTATTTAAAAAATCACTCAAAAGCACCGCTTTATCAACCTTTAAACACTAAATGTCCGGATAAAACGGAAATATGTAGCGCTTTTGAGCCACTAGTGACAAGGCATATTTCACCTGTCTCATCATGCATAAAAGCGGACTGTAGGGAAATTGGCTGATTCGCACTGTCACCAGGATTCCCTGAAGTGCATTTTTCTTTTTGAAGGAAAAATAAAAGGAACTCAGTAAAATTTAGCTTGACAAGCACCTATAATGGCATACACGTTGTTCCCCAGTCAATTAAGGTACCAATATGCCTCTGCTCAAGGTGCAACAGTCTTTGCTTCAAGGATTGTGCCTTTGATGCCTCCATGAAAGCCATTATGATATGAAATGAATGCTAAGATGGAAAGGTAACTCCTAAAAGGTAACTACGTGCTCTCTTTGGTTTCACAGGCGCTGAAGGCCCCGCAATTGGACTTGCGCTAGACGACACGTCCTCCAGGGCCATGCTAGTAGCTCTCAGGTCCCGCCGTACGTCGGTAATACCTATTCTACCTTAGTATTATGCCTCCATTCGATTTCAAAGAAGACTCAGAGCGCTACACACTTGATCTAATTCATTTTAAATGTCTAGGATGTCGAGCGGCCATTTCACACTCCTTCTAGTTACGTCTCCGCCGACAACAAATGAGAGGCCTACTAGAAAAAACATTCAAGAAAAAAAATTTTGCAATGGAGAATGCATAGCTCATTGTGGATAACAAATCATCGATAAACCTCAGTTCAGCAGATCCAGACTAACCTCCACTTTCGGAGAATTTGGGGGTATACCACTTACTGCCATTACAGTAGATTACGCGTACTGTCAGAGCAGCGCATTTCTACTTTGCTTCTGGTGTGAAGGCTACGATTTTCGAGCGGTTTTTTCTTCACCGTCACCGAAACCACGTCCACTTTTGGAGCATTTAACAAAACGACATTTAAGTTAAAACCAGTATAATGCACTGTTAGGCGAAATAAGTAGGCCTTTTCTTCCCATCTACCCGACGACGGCGACGACGACAAGGACAAGGGTGACTGCAATGAAGCCTGGCGTAGTGAAAGCGAGCTTCTTTTTTTTAAGCGCGCTGCGCGCGACTAGAGGAGAGGAGGGGGAAGAGGCGGAGAAAAAGCTGCCCTGTCTAAAGTTCGTTCTAGGTGCGCTGAAGCTGGGAAATAAAATGTCATCTCTGTTTCGCAGCAAAATATAGCGCCCAGTATAAACAAGTGCATGCTTTTCGAATGATATATCCATTCTACGTACGGTGTTGTTTGTTTTGGTTGGAAGAAAATTAATTCGTAAAAATGAGCCTCCATTGATTGACTGGTCGTAGAAAATGCCCGACCAGCCCCTTCTGGGGTTGCATGAACAAGCCTTATGAAGGTTGCCATGTTAAAAGAAGGTGAAGACTTAATCGGCTAATGGCATAGAATTCCATTCTTAGGTTAGCAATACAGTCAGGAAATGAAGAAAAACTTATGGATGGTCCATAAAAACGTAATCACTGGTCCGTAGCGCCGGGATAAGCCGAGCGTGCAGCCACGGGTAGCTAAGCCGTTACCCTATTGGCTCATAGAACGGGTTAGAGACAAGGTCAAGATTAGAGAGGGCAAATCTTGCCGTGCAGGAATTAGCTGCGTCCATAGCCAATCAGGTCTGCATGACTGTCCTCAAGAAGACAATCCTTTGAAAGAGGTACTTACAAGCTATCATACTGGGCACACTAGCAAGTCGCCTACGAAATGTATCATTCAGGAGCGTAACAGTGTCGATGTGTCAGGCGCAGACGCCTTGAATTTGTCACAATGCCTCCTGTCCCGGTTTCAGCGTCCGCCACTAACTGGCTCAACCTGTGCAATGGTCTGTGTTACTACATTATCTAGGTCAGTCACGAAAGGGGAACGGGGTACACGAATCATAATTTTGAAAGGAGTTTTGATTTATTCCACCGCTCCACGGAGACGCACATGCACACACACATGTCAAGCACCTTTCTAAGAAGGATCTAATGGCTGTGGCCTCATAAACAAGCCTGATTTTTGATGGAATTCGGTAGCGCTGCCAATAGTCATATGAAGGAAAAGCAAATCTAGTAAGGTGAAATTTTTGCAGACCCAGTTGAAGAAGATGGAAGAAATGACAAACGTTTTTACACTTTTCAACAAAGCGGCATCCTTTTTCTCTTCAGCCTGCATTTTTACGTGTGCCTCCCTTTTTTCTTCTGGTGAAACGGGCTCCAGTTTGTTGGTTGTTGCATTAAAAATACTTAAAAACGCCTCTCCTCCACTCTATTTAGGATGAAATCCTCTCGAACCGTGAACTCACTCCTGGCATAGCTACGCTGCATTTGCCAGTCCCGCTGGCGAATGCAAAGGGCCTTTTCACAGCGCTCTAGATAAAGACATGTTTTTTATAACTGATCGAGGGACGGACAGACGGCGGATAGACTTCTCGCGGCCCGAATAGGGATGGAGAAAAAAAGGAAAAAAAGCGAGCCATACCACATTTCAGTTATGGGAAATTTTTTTCCCATCCCCCCGTCATCGTTCCAATCCGCCTTATCCTTTCCCAAAGTGTGTGCTGTCAATAACCTGGTGAATAATCCACCTGGACAGTGAATAATGCGACGAATCCATTGTGAAGACACCCCATCTTGCATCTGGAGACGCCTTGATCGAGTAGGCGAGGGCAATTAAGCATCTTCCCTTACCAGCCCATCGGCAGACTTTTAAAGCCTCCTCTCATTTACGTTCCCTATGAGGAAGTGAGACTAAAGTGTCACTCTGCCGCTTTCTGGTCTGGCTTGTCAGATCTGACAAGTGACAGCACCTGCCGCTTCTCCCAAATCGTCGATATGATGGGTGCTAATGCTTAATCAGTGATCATTACTTTAAGAAAGTGGTAGAGATGCTGCCAAAAGAGGCAGTCCAGAGACTTGAAACTACGGCTGATTAATAAAATAGGAGGAAGGTCAATTAAAAGCTCTCAGGAGACTTATCGTGCCTACACAGTGTAGGAGTAGAGTGCCGACTCAACTGTCTCCTCTTTTTAGCTTGCTACAAAAAAGTTTTCAAGACTAGCTAAATAATGCGAGAGCAGTCATGCTCGAGTTTACTTGACATAAAAGTCATTTTCTTGAGAAAGGAAAAGATTTTCCCCCCTAAAATCATCGTCTTTCGGCAGGCTTTTAAAGCCGCCTCTCGTTTGTTCTCCCTTTCACATTGGTTTAAAACAAAAGGAAATAACTATTAAAAGTCATTCTAGTAATGACAAATCGCGGTGACTGAAAATACTGAGCATAAGACCTTAATTTCCACGCAGATTCGTGGGTGCTTTAAAGTCGTCACTTGTATGTGACGCACAATTCTTGAGTCCGATTATGGAGTGAATGTTCCCAAATCGTAAGAATCAACAGCTTTTAATTTTTTTTTGCCCCAATAGAATGATATTCAACCTAATCAAAATGCCCGAAGCCTACTCGGGACGGAGAGGGTTGTAAGAGAAGGCGGAACATACGCGAGGACCGTAGAGCGTGTTACCACTTACCGGATGGGAAAGCGAACAGATGGTAAGAAGTGGTTTCATTCACTTTTCTTGTAATTCGATTATTTATTTAAATTAGCTGTAGTATTTAATTGCGTGTTCATAGTTAGTGAAGAAGATGGGGCAACGCACAGACACCTCCAAGCGGTTGAGTAAATACACGTAAATAAATCTTCATCCAGCAAACGAATTGCTACAAAGTTATCTCTTATCTCCTCAAATAAAAGGACTCGCCAATCAGACCTTATTCTGGAGGTACCGTCATGAATTGAGGTGTTCGCTGGTAAGGAGAAGTGGAAGAATTCCAGACTGATGCTACTACTGCTGTTGCTATGTTTGGCGCCCAAACACTAGCACATACTGGAGGACAAATCAAAAATTTGCCTTTAATGAATGAGGCTTTTGGATGACAAATGGTCTTTGATAATGCTAACTTGACTGAAATTTTGCCAAGGCTCACTGAACTGTGATATTGTAAGTCCCTTTTTCCCCTATCGCCACTGTCACAACCTCTCCACCACCAGTCGGCGTTCAGTACCCGCCACGGTTTGCTGATAACCGCGGCTTTTTCTCGTGTCGGTGATCTTTTTTGTGCGTGTGGTTCGAAGCTCATTTAAATGAGATCGTGTAACGCGTGATTCTTTTTTCCCCACCTCGTTTTCCAAGCCGCCATTCGCGGAGTACAGTGCATGCTACCTTAGAAAAATATTTGCCGGGAGTTTTGAATCAGTTTCAAAGAGGAAAAAAAGTAAAGGGGACTTTGAATCAGGTGCCTAAAATGGCAATGCAGCACCAGAACAGAGATTTGCTCCTGAGATTAGCCACGAGGGGATGAATTGTCCCCTTTATTGGTTCTTTAAGGTAAAATATAGTAAATGCCAATCTGGAAAACCTAGTTTTCCCATTGTGTTGCTCAAATTTCTATGCCAATTCCCAGAAAACCATTTCTCGTGTATGGGGCATAGGGACGGATTTACATAGATATTGTGTTGCTTGATTTATGTAGGAGAGGGAAGGTAGAAGGTGGATTACATCCTCCTCCATGGAAAGCGCAAGTAGCGGTCCCTACGCAAAGCAAGGTTTGATTGCTGACTGTGGTTTTCGAGGATATGTTTAAAGGGAAAATTATTCAACCTCCCCCCTCTAGAATAGTTGCATCAAAAGTCTGCCCGACTGACTACACATCCCTCTCTACGGTAGGTCGTCAAAGTTTGTTAAGAGGAGAAATTTAACCCTTCGGAGCTTGGAGGCATCTGTAAGTGCTTCTGGCCACTAGAGGGATGTGTATAAGTAACTTGGGATGGAATTGTAGCATTTGGTAAAAGCATTTAATAGAAGTAATTCAGGTTCAGTAATTCACTGTCTTGGAAGAGCGAACTGTCAGGAGGAAAAGTCCACCAGAGAAGCTTAGTGCTAGTCATGCACAAGATTGCCTAATTGCCATTTGGATGGGGCAAAAGTGAGGAAGAGGGGGAGGAAAAGGGTTATTAATTAAGCGAATTAATAGGCAGGCAACTAAAGAAGCAGTTCTATTGCACGGATGTATTTATTTCAAAACCTTTTTTATTGTCAACCGTGATAAGCAAGGCAACCCCTCGGAGGTGGCAGGCCCCACCGCATCAACAGGGGTGCCTACACACCAGCTTATCCTCTACTTGAACTACCATTTCATGTCTCCTGTTGGACGAAGGTTGTTGAACGTTACTTTCAACCACCAAAAAACTGTGGATTGGGTACTGCCGACAACACATTACCGCCCAAGTCTACATACCGGAAGAGAGATCGACAATTGAGCAATCAACTTCCATAGAGGCATCTTGAGCCATCAAGAAGTCACCAGTTTCAAACTTGGAAATAAATCAAGAGAAGGAGTTCGAGAATTTCCCAACTCTGCCTCGGTCTTTCCAAGGCTTGCCCTAAAATGTGGAGCACTGATCACGGCGGAACTGCTCAAACCATGAATTCATTGAATTGTGGAATGTTGGTGCTTACATGCAACCCACGTTCGAAAATGACATAATTTTGTACTGTTTTGATGGTTTTTCTCGGTGGGCGCTTAAGTCCAAGCAGAGGTTAAGCTGCAGCGGCCTCTCAGTTTCTTTGTGGGCCAGTAATTCACTTCCTTCCATATCACAGGGACGTTGGGACGACTTCGCGAAAGAATCGAGGCGCTGCATCTGTGGCATTAAGAATTCCTTAAAAGAGAAGACGCAAGAAACAGACATACATCGAATTCGAAGGTAAAAGTGTTGATGAAAAGAGGTCAGATTTAGTAACGATCCAGTTAGGAGCTCCGCTATCGCACTTTTGCCGAGCAGTCAGGCCTCTGGGCCACGCCTGTAGCCCCATGCTCTGCTCAAAGTCGACAATACATACTATGCTTGAGTATTGTGTCTTTTTTGATTTCTAGGGTAGTTTTGAGGCGTTACAGTCTGATTTTATAATTCTTCGTGCTCTTCTACCCATAAGATCAAAAACTTGTGGGAAGAATGTCGAAAGTTTTTGGTAGAAGCACCCTCAGTGGCTGTGATTTGACATGTTTTATACCTCACCATTCTGACTAACATCAGATAGTTGGTCAAAGCCATTTTTTTGCCTACTCTACAGGACCTTTTAGCTTTCTTATAACTAATTTAGCGTTATTCCATGAATTTATTAACTGTCAGTTCTCTGGAAGAACTGCCAGCTAACACCAAATTTAAAAGCACCTAGACAATACCACTTTTTCTTTTTTAAAATTACCCGAGTTACTTAATTTCAAGCCAGTCTGGTAAAATTCTCATGAAAAATTATTGTATAAAAGCAAAATCCCATGTGGGGCCTAAGAATTCAAGCCAGGTAGAACACTGCAGTGTGAAATGATTCACAAAGAGCATGAAAAAGTAGCTAGACACGGAAGGACGAAGGAAGGAAATCGGCAACGGCTTCCGCCACTGAAGAAAATGAGAGAAGGAGAAAAAGCTTCCATGGAGAGAAGACGAATGAAGTTAGGTAGGTAGGTAGCTAGCTCTCCAAAATTGGCCTACCGACTAGGCGCTTAAAACAGGCTGTAGTGAGGCTGACACAAGCAATGTACCAGCAATATATAACCTCTTGTAGCCCATTACCTTTATGACTCACTTCACCATGAAGAGTTGGAAAGAATTGTCTATTTAAACAAAATCAGTTGAAAGGCGGATTAGGTGAAACAACTTTATTGAGGGAAAAGTTCTTCCTTATGTCACATGGACCATTGTCCTGTAAACGTTTTAATACGCTTGGTGCCAAGTCACTTAAGGGGCAAATCGACCATCGCAGTCCGGATGCTTTATGGCTCTTTTATGGTACCGGTTATCCCTAACTTTTGTCGTATGCACTTATGGCGGAGGCAATAAGATGAATGATCCTACAAAGTGTTTTACTTAATCTCACCCGTCCACCATTATTAAGGATTTCAAAACGGGCAATCGCTTACTTGAAATTGCACGAAAATGTGCATGCTGTTGGGATCTGGAAGTGTCTCGGGGATTGGGAGTCGGACCAGACGTCCGGTGGCACCCGGTAGTCTGGATGCATTGGCCATACCTTTGGGCCAATCAATACCAGTTACTCGAACCTTGATGACGTTAAGCTCCTCAGTGTCTTCGATCTCGGGATCATCGTCCACATCGCTTATGTGTGGTAGGGAGGTGGGTAAATGAGTGAATGACTCCACAACCGACTGGGAGGGGCGATTTGAATTCTTCATCACTCTCTCGAACCGAAGCAGGCCTATCTGTGTTGCTCTATAGCAAAACAAAGCAAAGCTGTTTGAGACTTACAAATGAGGAAGTAGTCCAGACACCTATGAAGATGAAGTAGAGCACCGTAAATCCATCTTGGTAGGTAAAAGCGGGTGTGCATTGTTATTGCATCAGACCGCGGTAGGAACAGAGTCTGCACGACTCAAATATTCAAACGGCTTTCCAATGGATAGAAAGGGGCTTGAATTACTCATACGTCCACAACAAATAAAGAGCATTTAAAAAAAATTCACTCCAGAAAATTTTGTTCTTAAGGCAAAAGAAGATATGTTTTTAAAGTAAACCACTTTTGCTGAAACGAAAACTTTTAAACAAAGAAATATACTAAAAGGGACTGGGCGCTTGATTCACACTCAGTTCCTGCAAGTGGAGGAGGAGTTGAGTCTTCTGGGAGAGCAATTAAAAATTGGGTGGTGCACGCCATTCCCATATCAACCATCTATACCAAAGCCGGAGTTTAATTAAGGAAATCGACACCAATATAAGTCTTTGCTTGTAAAAAGTGCAGCCCAAAAAGCATCAAGGTTCTACCTTAAATGAGTAACCTATAATTTAGCCAATTTTTAATCAGTGATACAGCAATAGCGCTTACTTGTCTGTCAGTGAATCATCGTCGCGTACTAAGAATTTCAAAGTTGACTGTCAATCAACGTACCGCGCTCTGCACAATGGAAATGACAAATGCTCTTGGCCCCGGCCGCCTCCCCCATTTAAACGCAAACTTAGTAATCAACGTCTCTGCTTCTACTTCTGTGATTTGAAAAAAAAACATCAAAAGCATTAAATTAAAAGGTTGAGACAAAGCAGTTGACTTTGACCGCCCAAGTTAAAGCATATGGTAAAAAGCGAATGGACTATATGCGAGATAATGGCAAAGGTACGGACTGATAACAAATAGACATAACCTCAAAGCAGACGTGAAAAGAAGCAATAGTCTTATAAAAATAGCCTTATTTTCGGGTTGACTGCAAAATTTACCTGACTGACTAACTAATTAAGTGAAGACTTATTCGTTATTCCCCAAACATTTGATCCAGCTATTGTAGAGATTTTCACACACAAAAGTGATGAGGAAGGTAGTTAGCTCTCAACAAGGTACAGAGGAATTGTCGGACTAGGCCATAAATGGCAAGGTCCCACCAAAAATCACGTTCAAGTATCCCAAAATGCCTAGGAAAGTTGGGGAAAAAGAAGATTAGTCACGCTCAAATTTGCCCTCTACAAAATTCACCAAATGAGAAACCGACTTGGTCGTCGTGTCATTATGACGCGTAAACGTATTTCCTTGAGACCCCTCAAAAGAAAGCGATGGACTCAATGTAATTTTGTCAACCTTGCAGACTACCTTGATGTCACGCATTGATGTGCTCCTCTTTCGGCCTCCCAGGTGTGCCCATTAATGGGGTTTTGGCATCCTTACCCAACGTAAAATACTTAGCAAAACAATGCGATTATTGGCAGAGTGACCTTTAATTCAGCACTAAGATAGCGACTTTCCAATGCTTTTTATTCTCGCCTATGATTTCTCGCAAAAAATGTTTGCCCCAATGCCAAACACCATGAAGTAAACGGTGCCTTTGTTCGCGTGAACACAACATCCAGACATATCTCGAAAAAAAAACGTAAAACTTTCAGTAGACCACACTGTTATTGCATTCAAACTGGTAATTTAAGTGAGCCCAGAAGACAGTGAGTTTCCCTTCAACTCTGTTGATTTGTTTTGATACATATGTGGTAAATTATTTGACTAGCAAAGTAAAACAAGTACTTATTAGTCTCTCAAAACTTTATAATTTGTGTAACTGTTACCCTTATTGAACTATCCTTTTCAAACAAAGTCGTTCATTTCGAAAAAATTTGACTGAAACTGCCTCAGAAATACTGATAGATGCACCAGTTCAAAGTTGTCTAGCATAAGAGAATTTGTAAAGAAAAAAGGTTATACATGTCGACAATCCCGTAGATAGGATGTCCGACGTAATTGGGCGTTGGATGGCTTGCAGTCACCCGCATTCTGTCTAAATAGCAGATTTCCAAGAAAACTTGAAGACAAAATAGGTAAATGGCTCAATGGATAACGAGATCCCTAACTAAAATTGTGTTTTTCTACTTGATCAAATTATATTAATCAAAAAACAACATTTGAAGTCGTTATATATCGCACTTAAAAGTTGTGAGTGAAGCCATCCCAACCAAGCGATTTATTACGGGATCACAAAAGACCACCTTGCGCTTTGACCTCCTATTTAAATGTCAGGGTCAAAAGTTTCGACGCCATAGCTGTACAGTTTTGCAGTGGTAGTGGGAGGTGATCACGACCTTCCGTTTTTCTTGCCGTCATGGATGCGTGTGTCCTCGCCTCATCAACGGATAATCAAAGTGGCCGTGACATGACTCACTGGGTATGGCTCTTAGTTAACTTCAAAGGAGCCGCTGCCAATACCAGTTTGTCGCGCAGATATTGCAATAGAACGCTACCTGGATCAAACTCGCCTTTTTAAACTTCCTATTCAATCAAGTGGAATTAGGAGTAAAGCGCTACACTCGGAAGGATCTATTTTAAGCCATTTAACTTTGCGTTCTGTAGAAATAATAAATCAGGCTGATAGTGATCTGACTATTTCTGCCATCATCATGACGCCTGTCATCGTGCCAGAAGGATCAAAATTCAACCCTTTGGTCGGGTACTTGACATGTCAAAGGTGTCTAGTGCACGGTAAATACTATCGGCACCATGGGCAAGCTGCCAAGAAACTACAGATGTGGTGGGCTGTTAAAATCCCCATAAAACACGACTAGAAATATTCAACAACCCTCAATTTACAAGCCAACTCTCCCGGGAATTTTTTTGGCAATCCTTCTGATTTTATCACCCACACAAGCTCTGCAGGGAAAGGGGGAGTGCGGAAGGCAGGGGTCAGGTAAAATTGTACAAGGCGGATAAAGCAGTGTCCGGTAAATTCCACTTACTGGTACTCGGACATCATTTTTCGGTGAGAAATAAAAATTTCACATCTTTCTTAATAGTATCGATAGAAAAGAAGTAACTTTTGTCAAGAATTCTGTCTTTTATGGAGAAAAAACATACTTACTATTTGGTGGGGGATGGCTACTCAGTGTAAGCGACTTTTACTTTTAAGCCATCCAAGCCACTTTAAAAAGGGAGTAGCAGCAACTCACGTTCTTCGAATTAAAATGCTCTCCTCTAGAGTATTCGCCTGAATGCTGTCATTCACGTCATCCAAAGTGGAGGCGGATGGTGAATGGAGTTGTGGTAAACTTCGCTGCCGCAGCTTGACTGTCAGACCACGAGGTGACGGCGTTCCCTGCAGTTTCCACACTCCGCCCTCCTTTTCCTTGGCCCACAGAAATCGGAGCTGACTTGAGAAGACAAATCTGTGGAAAGACCGGAATCAAGTGATGGACAATGACTGCAGTTAATGATGTCAAAGTGTCAAGGGACATAAAATAACTGCAATTTTGATGAGCTCTGGAGAAAGCTACAAAATCTGCTCGACAATGTTACCCCTCTGGTAATAATTTGGGTTCTTTTACAGTTAGACCAAAAAAATCTAAGGAACAGGTAATGAGTCGACTTTTTTTCAGCCACCAGATCCATGTGAATAATTAATAGCCTTGTTCTAAAGACCACAATATTACCGTGAATAACAGACACCGTGGATAGGCTTAAATACGACCCCTGACTATGTCCCTAGCTATGTTATTGTAGTTTCAAGTGATCCAACAATCCCCAACACAATCTTGACTGGGAAATTGGATATGTGGATAGTTGTACTTCCCCATTTTATGCAAGGATTCACCCCAACTGTAAGGTGAATGTTAAATTTCACTATTGCGTTGTTAAATTTACGAGTTATCTTAACCTCCGCATGCCCCATGGCCAGGCCACTGATGTGGACGCCTCAGATGGCACCTCCCTTTAGGCGGCTCAGCGATCCACTGGAAGAAGACGTGACAATGACAGTCTAAATCGCCTTCATTGTGACTGACTTCGATGAGTAGCCCCTAAAATCACATAATCACTCCAATTTCCCTAACTGACAGCTTAATTATTTCATTGGTAAAAAAGAGGGCCAAAATTGTTCAGTAATGGTGCTGGATAAGGACGAGTGACTCATATATGTCTCCAATTTTAAATCGGAAATCCAACTTAATGGGTCATTTCCAGAGATTTTTGATCTCCTTTCTAAATGGAGATCATTTTAGGGAGAGGAATTTAGTCTGAAAAGCCCATAAACATAGGAATGCGCGTTTTAAATGGTAATTTGTTAATGTGATGCTAAAATTCTTGGTTTGGCTCTCAGTTTTGGTTGCATGGGCGCTCAGGACTCCCCGCTATTTTACCGCCGCTGGGTGACATGGCATCTGGACCATGCCAGTAGCCGCTACCTCTAGCCCTTCTGAGAGACTCGGGGCAGCAGAGGAAAGCAGATCAGATTTCCATGCCTGATCGGTGAACCTTAACGCGAGGGCTGGAAGGGCATATACTGCAAACGGGAGGATCTGTGACGACCTCTAACAGAAGGGCTGAAAATGATGCCCAACTTCGGCAACTATCCCATTTCTGTATTCTGCAGGAATGTAACACTAGCCATAAACCATCTGGAAAAGCTCGCTCCGGAGCCGTCTACGGTGCCTGGATGATGTCAACCGAGTGAAGACGCGATATTTTTTCCACCTTTCAACTAGTTTTATAGAAAGTAGATGAACTGTGCTTAAGGCGTAAATTGTTTGAAGAAGAGTTTTAAAGGGTCTTACCGCAGTTACCTTTAAAACACCACTCTAGGCTAAAAACGGTTCGTTTTTCCTTTCTTTTAAAACCACGCAGATCAAGTGAAATTGGTAATCCCATGCTGTCCCACACAGGTACTTTCAGTTGGATACAGACTTCTTACCCCTCCTTCTGGGGTGATTAAAAATTGCAATCTTTGAGTTTAACTTGCAAGTTAATGGATTTCATTCTGTCCCGTAAATTTAGCTTTTAAATGGCGGGGGTTCCAGTGGATTCTAGGACCTAATAAAACCCAAGCACCGAAGTATACAAAAATGCCCATCAGTTGGAGGCACCACAGTCCTACTTGCCAAATTGTTTTTTTTTTAATTACAAAAAATGCATAAAACAGAGAAAATAAAATAAAATTAGCTGCCATCAATTGTTATTTGCCATCAACAAATTGTCTAAAATAACTTATTCCTCTCTCTCAGACCGAGGCTCCAAGGTAGGTTAAAGTTTAGTGCAGTTATGATTCATTTGCCAGTTCATGGTCAATTAAACCATAAACTTTTTATGGGAGGGTTGTGAATAACTGACCGCACTTTTGCGTTTACATTGGGGACGGAGAACACTGGAGGAGGAGGAGGAGTAAAAGGAGAAGGCCAGAGTAATTTGTAGGATCTAGTCACATGTGTCATATGGCTAATTCAGTCTATTAAAAGCTACCATTCTGTTACTAAGGTGGTTCCAAAGGAATGGTTACAATTGATTAGTGGCACAAATTCAGCTTTTTGCCTCTACTTGGCATAAAGAGAAAGTTCTCTTTTAATAAAGTTATTTATGACAGGACTGCAAATGTAAGAGGCACATGCAAAGGGGTGCAGAGGTCTGGCTGTAAACATCTTCACGAGGAAGTACAAAAGGAATATAAAGCTGCTCTGTGACGAACGGAACTTGATTTATGCCTGCACTGTGCCTTAATGCTACTGAAACAGGATTTTATGTAGCTGCTCCGGCAATTGACTAAACTCAGCAAAGAGTTTTGCAGTAGTTGAAGCCTAGGTTTATCATTTCAAGCTCAAAAACAGGCAATGGAGCTGCAGCACTTCTCACGTATGGATGAATGCTGAAGTACATAGATCAAGCCCTAGCAGGCTAGGATTTCTCAAACGACTGTATTAACCAACCATGAAGCAAAAACACACTTTCGTTTGTAGCAAAAACACACCACTTTAATACTTCTACCTTCTTTGCAAAGTAATCGTGCGTTAGTGCTGTATACAAATAAGCGATACAACTGAGATAGTGTGGGATTGCCG